GTCGTGATTGAGCTCATTGGGACGTCAAAAACGAGGCAAAGATGTTTTGTTTTGGATAGAACCTCCTAGGCTTGCCTATTTGGATACGTGCTGGAAATTATCGTAATTCCGTCCATAATGCTGTACCCCCAAGACATCTTAATAATAGAAAGTCTCTTAGGTTTTTTCTCAGATTTTTTTTTGGTTTTCTAAAAAATCAGTTTTTTTTGGTAGGATGAGCTGAAAATGCAGATGGATTATCTGAAAGAGGTTGGCCTGGACGACGCAGCTGTGAAATTTGTTCGTCAGTTACGGTAAGTTTTTTAAATTATGTGTTTATGTGTTGACTTAGTTTTCAAATTATGTGGAATTGACTTAGTTTTCAAAGCAACAGAATTGGATTGGATTTGATCCGATTTAGTCATAAGTCCAATTTGCTCGTATCTGGTAGCACAGCTGCAACAAAAAATAAAAAATAAAAAACTTCGATTTTCGTCGTGTCCGCTACAACATATGTTTTTGCGTTCGTTTTGCAGATCAATATCGAATATGAATTTGAGCCGTATGGCAAGTGATTATTCGGGTGGTGGCATCAAAACGGACAGTATGTTCGCAAATTTGCTAAATCGTGGCTCGCAGCTGTTCATGGAAGGTGTTAAGAATCTCGTCCCAAGGAAGCATAATTTACCGCTAACAAAAGTAAGTGTAGCATGGAGAGCTATGAGAAAAGTGTAATTGAAATTAGATAAATAGCAACGCGCACCAGAATAGCCGGTGCGGTCATGCGTTTTGTGCAATTCAGCCCATCGAACGATTGCCTATTAATGATTTTCACTGCTTTGTACTTTAGTCTATGCAAAAATACCCATCGAACGATTGCCTATTAATGATTTTCACTGCTTTGTACTTTAGTCTATGCAAAAATAGTTCTAACATTGAAAAACAGTTAAAAATTTCACGCACCAGCGTATGAAAGCTGATTTCGAAACCTTGAAGGAGTATAAAGAAGACCAGACAAAAATTTCACGCACCAGCGTATGAAAACTGAATTCGAAACCTTGAAGGATGAATATCTTTTCGTGTAGTTAGAATTTCACGCACCAGCGTATGAAAGCTGAATTCGAAACCTTGAAGGATGAATATCTTTCCGTGATTTCGATTTCATGCACCAGCGTATGAAAGTTGAATTCGAAACCTTGAAGGATGAATATCTTTCCGTGATTCCCCGCACCAGCGTATGAAAGCTGAATTCGAAACCTTGAAGGATGAATATCTTCCCGTGATTCCCGATGCACCAGCGTATGAAAGCTAAATTCGAAACCTTGAAGGATGAATATCTTTCCGTGATTCCCGCGTTAATAGTTAGCGCATGAAAGCTGAATTCGAAGCCTTGAAGGATGAATATTTTTCCTTGATCCCAGAGTTAATTTTTCAGCGCATGAAAGCTGAATTCGAAACCTTGAAGGGTAAATATCTTTCCGTGATTCTCGAGCTAATAGTTTACCCGCCAAAATTTTCACGAGACCGTGTGTGACACTCAAGAGCGCGGAAACGCTGAATTTGAATGGGCGAGGTTGAGCGTGGGCAGGGGGTCATTGCCGCAAAATTTCAGCTTCTTAGACTCCGTGGTTCCTGAGTTAATAATTTACTCGTGAAAAAATTTCACGGGGTCGTACGTGTTTCCCGCGGGTACGGGAAGGCTGAATTTGAATGGGCAAGGTTGAGCGTGGGTAGGGGGTCATTACCCTAAAA